GGGAGGCTGAGGCTAAGAATTGCTTGAACTGGGCAGGCAGAGGTTGCAGTGGGCCAAGATCGCACCACTGCACTCCAGCTGGGCAACAGAGCAAGACCTTGTCTCAAAAAAAAAAAAAAAAAAATGGAGATTGGTATATTTTAGAGATGACATTGCAGATCAATGTGAAGAGAAGTTTTTCCAATATATAGCACTGGGATGATTGGTTATTCATATGGAAAATAAATTAGATTCCTGCCCTTACATCATATATGAAACATCCATTTTTTTATTAGTAAATGGTTAGCTGTAAAGGGCAAATTTCATACATTTTAAAAGTATAAGAGGAAGATATCTTTAACCTCACGTTAGGGAAGGCATTCTTAAAATTAACAGCTTCTATTCATCAAAATATCTCATAAAGAAAATGAAAAAGACAAACCCAAAATTGATAGACAACATGAGTAAAAAAAAAAAAAAAAAACAGTAAAATCATTTCCTTCAGAAACCACAGGGTACTACAACAAATCAGTAATAAAAAGACAAACAACCCAACAAAAATGAGCAACAAACATGAACAGGCATCTCACAGGAGAGAAACTCAAATGGCAGATAAAAAATAGAAAAATAAGCAAAAACATATGGTAATTAGAAGACTGCAAATCAGAATTACAAGTTTTAATTTTAACACAGATTTTTACCTGGTGTGGCAGACACCAAACTGGATGACACGGGCTTGAGGACATGGATGGAAAGTCACTCCTCTGTTGCTGGTGTGATTATAAATTAAAACAACCATTTCAAAAAATTGGTTGTCACCTCATTGATCTGAACATCTGCATACTCTATGATTCTGCAGTCCCCTCCACACACACACCCTCCAGAGGCTTCAACTCAGGTGCACCAAGAATCATGCAGAATGTTCACTACAGTACTTCTCATGATACAAAAAGTGAAAACAACCAAATGTCCATGTACAAAGACTGCATAAACACATTATGGGAAATTATACAGACAGGAGTCACAACAAATAAACCACATCCAAATGAAATCATATGGGAGAGATGTGCAAACACAATGATTAGTGAGAAGCCATCATTGAAGAATAGATATGATGCTACTTTTATAAACCTCAGAAACAAGCCAAACTAAACAATATTTTTTTGTGTATACATATAGATATATACTCATTCAATAAAATACTGTAGAAAAGGAAAATGATCGACACCAGACTGAGGTTGGTGGATGCCCCTGGGGGGAAGCAAGGGCAGGGTGGGATGGGAGCTCTCTAGCAGTCACTGTGATGTTGGTGACAGCCTGGATTTCGGGTCAGCTGATGGGTGCATTTTAGGGTTAGGCGTCATAGCTCCCCCGATACGTTACACACAGTCTGCTCTGTACATGTGGAGCCTGGGAGCTGGAAACTCTGAAGAGATGTGGCCACACTCAGCACCTAGCCAGGCCTTAGAACCCAGGGCTATGACAGAAGCAAGGGCAGGGAGACTGTGAGGGATGGCGGGATGGAGATGGGGGCCACAGAAACAGAAGTGGGGTCAGAAAACATGGGGGTTCCACACTGCTCTTTGAAAGGTCTGAGTCCATGAGGGCTTTGTGATACTCAGAGAAAGGAGGCAAGGTAAATGACGATGCCAGTCCTCCGACTCCAGACTGTGTCGTTAAGTTGGCCTGATCCCAAGTGAAATAACATTGCCGTCTGCCATGCCCTTGGTCCACGGAAGAGTAGCAGGTGCAGCTGCTCGGTGGGCCTGTGGGAGGGTGGGATGTCTGCATGGGGATAATCAAACAGGGCCACCTTGGTCTCAGCTGCAGAGCCTCCTGCCCAGACCTCGCCCTGTACAGAGAAGGCCAGCAAGACTGCACTCCCTGCTGCTCTGCCCACAAAACGCTGGCAGGGAACTCACTCAAAGACAAAAGATAACTGCTTTTGTTTTGCCCCAGGCTGCGGCAGCTCCAAGTTCTGCCAAAATGAAACCACGTCAGTCACAGAGAGCCCACAGGTCAGCACCAACAGCTTCTTTCACTTGTGACAGCAGCAAGGCCAGCAGAGGTGATTCCCTGGAAGGTTGGAGCCTTCCTCCTAGCAGGACAGTTTAATGCCCTGGGCCAAATGGACTGATTCTTACCCCAGGGTTTTCCACTGGTTTCCCTGCCATTTTCCCACAGCAACGAACATCACAGCTGCAGCCCACAGGAGGTGGAGGAAGGCCCAGGCTCACCCGCATCACAGCTGCAGCCAGGGGAGGTAGAGGAAGGTTCCAGGCTCATGTACATCACAGCTGCAGCCCAGGGGAGGTGGAGGAAGGCCCAGGCTCACCCGCATCACAGCTGCAGCCAGGGGAGGTAGAGGAAGATTCCAGGCTCATGTGCACCACAGTTGCAGCCCAGGGGAGGTGGAGGAAGGCCCAGGCTCACTTGCATCACAGCTGCAGCCAGGGGAGGTAGAGGAAGGTTCCAGGCTCACGTACATCACAGCTGCAGCCCAGGGAAGGTGGAGGAAGGTTCCAGGCTCACCTGCATCACAGCTACAGCCCAGGAGAGATGGAGGAGGGCTCCTGCTCACATACATCACAGCTGCAGCCCAGGAGAGATAGAGGAGGGTTCCTGCTCACATGCATCACAGCTGCAGCCCAGCGGGGGTGGAGGAAGATTCCAGGCTCACATACATCACAGCTGCAGCCCAGGGGAGGTGGAGGAAGGTCCCAGGCTCACATGCATCACAGCTGTATCCCAGGTGAGGTAGAGGAAGATTCCAGGCTCACCCGCATCACAGCTACATCCCAGGGGAGGTGGAGGAAGGTCTCAGGCTCACCCACATACAGCTGCATCCCAGGGGAGGTGGAGGAAGATTCCAGGCTCACATGTATCACAGCTGCAGCCCAGGGGAGGTACCGGAAGATTCCAGGCTCACTCACATCACAGCTGCATCCCAGGTGAGGTGGAGGAAGATTCCAGGCTCACATACATCACAGCTGGAGCCCAGGGGAGGTGGAGGAAGATTCCAGGCTCACATACATCACAGCTGCAGCCCAGGGGAGGTGGAGGAAGATTCCAGGCTCACCCACGTCACAGCTGCATCCCAGGGAAGGTGGAGGAAGATTCCAGGCTCACATGCATCACAGCTGCAGCCCAGGGGAGGTGGAGGAAGATTCCAGGCTCACCCGAATCACAGCGGTGTCCCAGGTGAGGTGGAGGAAGATTCCAGGCTGGCATGCATCAGAGCTGTATCCCAGGTGAGGCAGAGGAAGGCACCTGTTGCCCTCACTGCCACGTACTCAGGCAGTGAGTTTCTGGAAGTAATAACTTGAGCCACCTCCACTTGATCTCCTGGGAGGGCTCATTTGTTCAGGTCCATGGGACATTTTAAAGAGCTCCCTGTGTGATCGTGAGGTATACTGAAGCTTAAGAACCATGACTTTATGAGGTTTGTGCTATTTTAAGGCCAATATTCATGCTCTACTTTATGTTCTGTAAATGGGAATTTATACGTAGGATTTTCTAAAAGAACATGTGTTCTTATATTGCTTATTGAATTAAAACAACAGATGAAACTGGCTGTTTAAATGTATAAGATTCCCCCCAGCTCAGCATACCAGCCCAGGCATACCTCAGAGAGGCTGCCGTGGTTGCAGACCACAGCAATAAGGTGGATACCACAATAAAGCAAGTCACATACATCGTTTTGGTTTCCCAGGGCTTTATAAAATTATGTTTACACTATACTTTAGTCTTACTAAATGTGAAGTACCATTACGTTTTAAAAAATGCACAAGCCAGCGGGGCGTGGTGGCTCACGCCTATAATCCCAGCACTTTGGGAGGCCGAGGTGGGTGGATGCCGAGGTCAGGAGATTGAGACTATCCTGGCCAACATGGTGAAACCCCATCTCTACTAAAACACAAAAAAATTAGCTGGGTGTGGTGGCACATGCCTGTAGTCCCAGCTACTCAGGAGGCTGAGGCAGGGGAATCACTTCAACTCAGGCAGTGGAGGATGCCATGAGCTGAGATCATGCCACTGCACTCCAGCCTGGGCAACAGAGCAAGACTTCATCTCAAAAAAA